AGCAATAAGGCGCCTCCGGTGTCCCGGGATTTGCCAAGGTTTCCTGGGGCACACCTGGGGGCTGCAGCTGCCAGGGGCTGATGGCACCCTCAGGTTGTGGTGCCTGTGGCTGGGAAGGGTTTTGAGAGGAAAGCAGCTCTTCCAAAGTGGGGTTGTTTTGTACCTGGGTGGGCTAGATCGGAGAATCTCACCTTTAAAAACGAGGTGCAGTAGTAATTGGCCTGATCCCCCAGGTGTCACTCCACAGATCCCAGGCAATGCCCAGCCTCTTGCTGTTGGGTCCTTTCCCTTCCTACTGCTAATGGCACCTGCTCTTTGTTCTGCGTGTCTTCAGCTCTAGCTTCTCCATGATCTACACAGAATCACAGGATGGTTTGGGGTGGAAGGGACCTTAAAGATCACCTAATTCCAACCCCCATATTTTGATAAATAATATTCTACCTTAATTATCATCTTGCTAATATTTCATTGGGGTTTTTTTCCCTTAAATTCTGACTGTGTGTGCTGGTGCTTCCCCTGCCTCTGTAAGTTTCACCCAAGAAGTGCAGCAAGATCTGCCCTCGGAGCTCTCCAGCTCTTCCACTGGGCACAGTCATGTGCTCATTAACCACCACCCTGACCCCTCAACAGCATCTTAATTAGGGCGTTATTTATAGGTGTTTCATATAACTCTAGTCATACCTTAGGTGCTGTGGGCACTGGTCCCGGGGGTCGGAGGGGAGGAGGTCGGGGTGGGCGCCGTGGGTCTGCGGGCCGGGCGCGTGACGGGTGTCCCCCCGCAGATGAACACCTCTCTCCTGGGGAGCATTGGCATGCTGAACTCGGCCCCCCAGCTGCGCTGCATCAAGACGTTCCAGGTGCCCCCGGTGCAGCCCGCGTCCCCGGGCTCGCTCAGCGCCCTGCGCCTGGCGCGCCTCATCTGGACCTCCAACCGCAACGTCATCCTCATGGCCCACGACGGCAGGGAGCACCGCTTCATGGTCTAGGGTGAGCCCGGCCCCATCCCTGGAGGTGCTCAAGGACAGGCTGCAGGTGGCACTTCATAGAATCATAGAATCTTAGGGGTTGGAAGGGACCTCGAAAGATCATCTAGTCCAACCCCCCCTGCCAGAGCAGGGTCACCTAGAGTACATCACTTGGCGCCACGGTCTGGTCGATGAGGTGGTGTTGGTCACAGGCTGGGCTTGATGGTCTTCAAAGGTCTTTTCCAGCCTTGGGGATTCTGTGGTTCGGTGATTCTGAGCCTCACAGAATTGCTGGAGTTGGAAGGGACCTGTAGAGATCATCTAGTCCAGCTCTCCCACTGAAGTAGGATCATCTAGAGCACTTTGCACAGGGCTGCATCCAGGGGGGGTTTGAATGTCTCTGCAGATGGAGGCTCCACAGCCTCCCTGGGCAGCCTGTCCCAGGGCTCTCTCACCCTCACTGTAAAAAAGTGAGGGTAAAGAAGTCCTCATTTTTCAGTGGAACTTCCCATGCTCCAGCTTGTAACCGTTGCCCCTCGTTCTGGCACTGGGAACTACTGAGAAGAGCCTGTCTGCATCTTCTTGCACCCACCCTTTAGATACTTGCATACACTGATCAGGTCTCCCCTCAGCCTTCTCCTCTCCAGGCTGAAGAGTCCCAGCTCCTTCAGCCTTTCCTCATCAGGGAGATGCTCCAATGCCCCTCACCCTCCCTCCCTCCCTCTCTGTGCCCGGCTGATGCTGGTTTTCCCTTGCAGGCAGGAGGAAGGCTGGGGAGCCTGGCGGGAAGCAGCGTGGGACTGGGAGCTCCGTGCTGGATGCTGAGCTCTCGCAGCAGCCCTGGTTAAACACCTTGTTCCTTTGGAGCCTCCCACAGCACCTCCATGTTTACCAAAAAGGCTGGTGTTTACATGTACTTTCTCCTGGTGACCACTGAATGCCAGAGGGCCGTCCATCCCGGAGCCGGGCGCTGTGTCCTGGGTCCCAGAGCCAGGCACTCGGGTTCCTTAGGATGGGGGGCTCACTGCCGTGGGGAAGGGGGTTGAGTTTCAGGGCCTGTGTCCTTCCCTGAAGGGGATGTTTCCTCATACCAAGGCTTGGTTTCCAAGGGCATTGGCAGAGCTGCTGTGCCCGGTTGCTGTTTGCTGTCGTCTGGAGGAAAGAATAATAGTCCATGTGTACAGAGAAAAGAAAAAAAGCCTCTTTAAGATGGAATAGCAAGCTTGAAAAAAAGGAGTATTTATATATAAAGGTGTTTTTTTGCTACCAATGCAGGTATTTATTTAAAAAAAAAAAAAAAGACCAAAAGCTTTTTCTCCCTAAAGCTGCTGCCATTTGTGCCAGGATGTGTCCCCAGGCTGTGCTGCCCTGCACCCGGGGCACAGGACGTGGCAGCACAAGTGGCATCAGTGGGGAGCAGTCCTGGCTGGCAAAATGGTGAAAAGTGTGTGGAAGGTAAGATATTGGGTGGGTGTGGTGAAACATTTTCTTCCGTAGGAATATTCCTGTGTTACCTTAGCTGTGACTGTGTTTCCCTCTTCTTACATATCTGATTTTGTGGAATATTTAATAGTGTGTAAGTATGCTGGTCTATGCTCACAGTAATGAAAAAAAAAACAACCCTAATCTATAAAATACTATTTTATTTAAACATATTGATGTATATGTTTGTATAGCTTTTTCTTTGCCATTTTTGCCTGAAAAGCTCACAGATCCAAGGCGGCTGAATTTACATAATGAAGTAAGAATGGTACTTAGAGAATCTTCCTTTCCCCAAAAAGGAATAAATGAATTTTTAAAATGGCTTCTAAATATAAAAAGCATTGATTTATTATTTTCTTTTAGGTGGTCTGTGTAGTGCACTGTACCTGAAAGTGAGATTTACAGTCCAGAAGCTACATATCTGTTTGCTGTTTAAAAATAACCTTAAAACAAATTTAAAAGCAAGAAATTAAGACCATTAGGAATGTTTAACACAAACTGCCATGGAGTTTAACCTTTCCTCTGGCGGGAATGTAGTGTGGAGTGGAGAATCCTGTAGTAGAATATCAGGGTCTTTTCTAAGTGAACTGCTGCAATGTGCATGTACATGGTGTTTATACAGATGTCTGTGTAACCTTGGAGATTAAAAAGGCAAGAAATAAAGAGGAGGGCTCAGAGCCTTTTCATGGGCAGAACCAACTGCTGTGGTTTGCAGCACTGGCTGCTGAGGAGGGTGCTGAGGGCCCCTGGAAGTGCTCTCCCACCAGGATCCCAGCGTCCTGTCCCTGTAGCTATCCCAGATCCCTGTGTCTTTACTTTCCAAGCAGAATGCAGCCCGGGAGGCGTGTGGGCCACCCCCCTGGGTGGTACAGTGACCAGACAGCTGGAATTACCTCTGCGTCCCAATCTTTGCTTTAAGCTAGATGGGAAATGGGCTCTCTGGGATGCAGCAGAGCTGGGACTTTTCCTCCCAGCCCAGGAGGTCAGTTCCAGGCAGCAGGAGAGTGAGATGGCTGCTGAGGAGCTGCTCAGCCCTACACCCTGTGATGGGCCCTGGGGTGGGCGAGGGTCTGGCGGGTGCCCCGTGCACATCCCTGCCCTCACCCCTGTTAATCCCCCTGCTCTGGGGGCTGTGAGCACCCCCTGCCCCATCTGGGGTGCTGGGCATGGCCCCACGTGAGCTCCTAGGGCTGTGTTGATCTGTGAGTGCCCTGCTTGGGCTTGTCCTGGTAACTGCAGAGACCTGTGTGGCTTCCTGGGCAGCTCAGAGAAGCTGACATGGTGAGACACCCGCATGGGAACGCTGTGGTGCTGGGGGTCCCTGTGTGCTGAGTGGTCCTGGGCCCTGCCTCTCCAGCCCTGTCTTGTCCAGCTCCCTCCCCATCACTGTCTGTGTTTAACTTCCCAGTGTAAATGTGCTTGTGAAATAAAGCTGAGTTGTGCTGGAGTGTTGGTTTCGTGGCATCAGCCTGACTGTGCAGATAATTCCCGCTGCAGATTCACGGGCCTGGCACCTGGAGCCTTTTCCCCATTCAGGAAACTTCTTCCTTCCCAGTTGAAAATGGGCAGGAATGAGCTGGGGGGGGAGGGGAGGGGGGCCATGGTGAGGGGCTTCAGCCTTTGCTACAGATGACAGAGGCGGGAGGGGGCTGAGGATCAAGTTCTCTGTCCTCCCCAGAATTTGTGTCCGAGCAAAGAGGGAATCTTGCTCTTCCAGGAATTCACCCACGCACTGTGTGCCCGGTGATGCTCTTTGCTTTGCATCCCCCCAAGGACAGGGATAAATCAAACACTGGGATTTTTCTGGGGTGGCGTGCAGGGTGGCTGAGGGTGTTTGATGCCACCTGGGGTTCGGGTTGGAACGGGCCACATCCGTCACTTTCAAGAAGCCGGGGTCGTGTTTGCTGGCAGAGGGAGCCCCGGTGCTCCCTGGCAGGGGCTGTGGGGTGAGCCTGTGCCCCGAGGGCTGGGGAGCCAGGGAGCTTCAGACATGACCTAAGCAGCCTTCAGGATGACAAACCCACCGAGGGGTGGTGTGACCCCTGGATTCTGGGGGTGTGCGAGCACGTGGCAGCCCCCCCAGCACCCCTGGTCTGGGGGCAGCGCCCTGCTGGGCTGACAGGCAGAGCTGAGCCTTGGAAAATCAATACTTGGGAGCCAGGAGGGAAATATTTCCAACCTCTAACTAGGGAATGTATTTTGACAAGGCCAAGATAATCCAGGCTGCACAAGAGAAAGAGAAAAGAAGACTCATTTTTAAAGCTTGACACTTCAAGGTGTTTTTTGCGCGGTGGTTTAGCGAGAGCGTCGATACCTGCAAATACCAAAGGTCAGGCAAGAAAAGGCAGAAGAATTTCAAAAAATCAGATGCCCTGGTTTGGCTGTTTACCTCACGAAACATACACTGTCTGATTTGTGGAGAGAGCTGGTCGAAGGTAGTGAGCTCAGGGTTTGCTGCTGTCTCCTCATTTAATAGAAATGAAAATATACTAAAGCCTGGATTATACCTTAAGCAATTTACCTATAAAAAGTATGTGCCTGTTTCCTGCTATATATCTGGATTCATGGACATTAATTGTTTTTTATTTGGCATGATTGCATTTTCATGCAAAAAGATCAATATTTTTTTCATTTATGCAGCATCATTTTTTTGATAATTGAATGTCTGGCCGTGTCCTCGGGTTCTACATGGAATGGTCAAAAGCTCCTCAGCCCTTCTTCTGCTCCTTCATCCCTGAAGGTTTTGCTGGCCCCAGGTGTCTGCGGGGTAAGGTGGGTGTGAGGAGGGGGGACGTGGTCCCCTGATGCCCACCCTGGGCTGGGAGTGGGGCAGGTGGGGCCACACTGCTTGTGGCAGCCAAGGGAGGTGCAGCACAGGGGCCAGGCTGGACACAGGTGCTGATGGAGCAGCTGGAGCCTCCAGAAGGTGCTGGGGAGTGATGGGGCAGCACCTGTGGGATGGGCGGACAGGCAGCTCCTGGCACCGAGGAGCAGAGGTGGAGGAAGGGGCAGGTGGGCTCCATGGACAGGTATTTCCTGCCCCAGGTGAAGGAGCCTGTCTTAAGGCCTGGGGAAACAAGCCAACCTGGGAGAAGGTGACTGAGACATGGAGTGATGGGCTTGGACATTGTTAATTGCATGTGGGCAGTTGTCTCTGAACTGTGACATGAGGTTCTGCCTGGGCTGGTGCAGTGGAGATTGTCTGCCCACTAATTAGTGTTATTGGGAGTAAGATACTGGAAATGAGAGGTCACTTGAGGTCTATAGAAAAACCTCTAGGAAAATCATACCAGGCACTTCAGATTTGCTGCTTTCAGTGCCATAACACACAGGGACATCTCCCCTGCTTTCCCACCTCAAGGCTCCTCACCTGGGGGTTGGTGTGGGATGTGCCAGGCTCTGCTGGTGCTGTGTCCATGGCTCTGGTGGGAAGGAGCAGGAGCTGGGCAGAGGATTCCTGTCCCACCGGCTGCACAGCCCAGCCAGGTGGCACAGAGAGTGTCCCTGGGTGGTGGGTGGATGTCCCCCTCCAAAGCTGTCCATCCTGCCTGAAGCCAAAGCTCTTTGGAAATGCAGCCCACCGAGGTCGGGCTGAGCTCCACCCAGTGTATTGACCAGAGCTCTTTTCCAAAGAGCATAAAGCTGTGGTTGTGCACAGCATGTCTTGCCAACCATCAGCATTCCTTGCAGCTGACTCAGAACTCCATCCACCTGCATCCCACTCCCTCCAGCCTGATGTGCACGGGTGGGTATGGCCAGGGAGGAAGTTCCTCCTGTGTAGAGGCAGCAGAAGGCACAGCTGGGTTTGCTGTCCTGGGCACACAGGAGCTGCAGAGCTTGTGGGCACCAGGGAGCAGAGCACATATGGAGATGGGCTGGGCAGGTATTCGGTCCCAAACTCCAGTCCAAAGCTTTGCAGAACTGTGGGAATTGTGGGACTTCAACACTTGGAGATACTCTAAAGTCCCTCCATTTGTACACGAAGCCTTTCAGATGGTCCTTCCTGTGTTCCAGGGCTTTGAGCAGGCATGGAAGGAGCAGACATCCCAGAACAGCCGTGCCACCCCGATCCCATGCCAACCTTTCCCAGCATGGCCTGTGGTGAGGGAGCTCAGGAGGTCCCAGGTGCCCAGAGCTGGGCAGGGATGGGGCTCCACAGGGGCTCCAGGGCACTCAGGAGTAAGGAGAACAGGGCTTTCTTCCAGAAAGCCCCCAAACTTTCCCAGCAGTCAGACTTCTGTCTGAACAAAAAATATCAGTAAAAATCTGCATCAGAGCCTTCAGTGAGATGAATTGACACTTGATGGCAATAGTTGCCTGGAGTGCTCTTTGAGCAGGAGGGCTCCTGGGGAACTTCCCTCTCTCTCTGATGTCTGAAAATTAAAAATTAATCCTGTATGAAAAATTAAAAGGCGAAACTTTCTGCTGCAGCAGCAGAGCTTTTGGAATGTTGATTTTGTTTTGAGAATGAAGGCTGGATGGCATCTACGGGAACATCCTTGCTGGTCGTTACATTTAGGATATATGATTTTAATTGATTTTTGTAAATTGGAAACCTATTTGCAAAGAACTGGAGCAGCTAAAAACGTGGGGCAGGGGGGTTAGATGTTTATTTACTGAAGTAGCAGACTTTAAACAGGCATTTGTTCCCTCCTGCAGAGCTACTCCCATTTTACAGTACAGAGAAAAGAGAACTGATGTTCTTCTCCAAAGAAATGATGGTGGAATCTGCACAGTTTGTGAGTTTAAATCAGATTTTTTTTAAAAAAAACAACATCACCTTTTTGACAAGAGGAGTGTCTCCTGCCCCGTGCTGACCAGGTGTGTGTCCTTGTCATTGTCACCACTCGGTGCCACCCTCTTGTGACCAGTGTCGTGGGACAGCCAGGGAGTCCCAGGCAGGGCTGGCCACAGGAGAGCTGCTGGGCTTTGTTCCCCCTGAGATGAATCTTCCTCTGTGGGCAAAGCAAACATTGCTGTCAAGTCTGAGGGGTTTTAGCAGGTTTATCCAGAGAGAAGTTGGCTGCTGGTTTGGTCAGAATTCGTGGTCCCACTGCCCGTTTCTTTTGCTTCCAGTTGCTGTGACTGTCGCTGCTGGTGGGGCTGGTGCAGGTGGGTTTGGTGTGTGCCAAGGGACTGGGGTGACACCAGGTATAAAAGTAGCCCAGCTTAGAGCATGAAGGAGATGTCATTCATTTAGGTCTCACTGAAAGACAAAGTCTTCTCCAGCAGCCTGCAGGGACAAGGAGTAAAATCCAACCATGAGGTCCAGTGTCATGGTCACCTCAGGTCACAGCTACACCTGGCAGTCACCCCAGGGATGCACCAGAGCTGAGTGCCCTGGGGATGGGCACGGTGAGGGGGCTCTGGAGGGCTGGTGTTGCTCCAGGAGGATGGGAAAGGTGGGGTTTGTGGTGTTTCACGACAGGAATTTTATGGGAATGGAGCACAAACCAGCACGTAGCCAAACAGAACCTGCTCAGCAATGCACAGCACCACTGCAGAGCTGCAAAAATATGTATTTCTGCTTCAAAGCCGGAGGAGTTATTAAGGCAGCTGCAGATTTCCACCTTGTTTGCAGTTTAGACTGAAAGTGGATTAAAATCCATTTTGGAGCAGTCCCAGGTTTATTGCAGGAGCAAGTGCAGCTCTGGCTGCTGCCTGCCCAGCTCGAGGAGGAGAGGGAGGAGGGGAAGGAGGGCAGGAGGATGGGAAGCAGGATGAGCCTCCTGTCAGCCCTGCCAAAAACCCTGGGGCAGGCAGAGCTGTCCCATTGGAGGCAGCTCCGTGTAGCTAGGACAGTCAGGGTGACACCAGCAGAGCCCTCCCCGTTGGCTCCAGGGGCAGGGACAGAGCTGGGGGTGTTGGTGGAGAGAGTGTGGGATGCTCAGGTGGGACAGGGGACCCCTCAGCATCCTCCTGAGCTGGAGAGGACGCTGGCCCAGCAGCCTTTAATCACAGTTATTTTAGAGAGTGAAGTGGAGCAGAGCAGAGATTAAAAGCAAACCTGACACAAAACCAATCAGAGTTATCAGCAAACCATTAAATTGCTTCCAGGAATAAAACTCGGCAGGGAGGGAGGTGGGATGGAGCTGCCTCCCTTCTCCTGCCATTCCCACCCCCATCCCCAGGGATGCCTCTGTCCTCTCACCAGAGCCTGTGGGACCAGCTCTGGCTGGGCACCAGCAGCCCCAGCCCCTGCCCACATCTCCCCCAGCACAGGAGCAGTATCCCTGGCAAGCTTGGCCGCCAGCTCCTCACACCAGGCTTCCCCTCGTGTTCCTGCTCCACGGCTGCAGGGAAAACTTCTGGGAAAGGCCTGGAAAGGAGGTGCTGGAGGAGCGTGTCCCCAGAGCTGCTGCCTGTCCCTTGCAGTGGGAGCAGGGATGGCTTCACACAGGTCCACCATGGCCCAAAAGGAGCAAAGACCAGAATGGGGGAGAGGAGGAAGCTGGAGCACTGAGATCACGGGCTGCTGGGGCCACAGCAGCACTTGGCTTTCCTGGGAAAGCCTCCGTGAGCCCAGTGATCTTCCCTGGGATGGCAGGTGGTGTGCAGATGGGAACACAGGCCCATTGATCTTCACTGGCTTCCCAGAAATTGAAAAGGGGGGAGCAAATGTCCTTAAAATGAAAGCATCTCTCCCTGAGCCATCGTTCCCCAGGCTGGGATTGCTGGGAAGCTCCATGTCTGTGTCCATGCCTGCCAGCAGAGCAGGGACCCCCGGCACTGCCACCGCGGGCACCCGAGCGGGTGCAGGGGGTGGGGACAGGAGTGGAGCCCCGAGCCCAGCTCTGTGCAGCTCCACGGGAGCCACAGGGCTCCCCCAGCCCCGGGGGTGTCACCGGGGCAGCAGCCAGATGAGTTCCCATCAAGTGCATTGGCTTGGAAAATGGGGAAAGCTGAGGGTCAGGTGCCCTCCGGCGCTCCCGGGGGCTCCGGCCAAGGCCACCCTGGTGACTCATTTCCCTGACAATTTTCGGGACTTCTCAGCATTCCAGAGACATCCACCTGCTCACCCCGTGTCACGGGGCTCCGGCTGCTGCAGGGGGAGTCTTCCCTTCCCCAGCCCACGGGTACTCAGCAAAGCCTGCAGGGCCCTGGCTGTGGTGGCAGGGAGGGGTGGTGGTCCTGGCTGGGAGGCAGCGGTGGCTCCACCCCTGCCTGTCACCCCACGTGCAGACCTGCAGCACCCCAGCCCTTGTGATCCCAGAGCCTTTGGAACAAATCCCCTTTCCTACCACTTCGAGTGGATGCTCTGCTACCATGAGGCTGCAGGGAAAGATGTGTAGGAGTGAAAAAAAAAAACCCAGATCACACCATCTTTGGCTATTTCAAAAGAGGTCAGCCTATAATATCCATGTTTTTCCAGATTTCTGTTGGGGTTTTCCTTCCAGAGCTTTTACAATCCCCTGCCCAAGCCTGTGGTCACACAGGAAGCCCCAGCTGCTCAGCTGGAGGAGCAGGGGAGCCAAGGGCTGTGCCAGCAAAGCCCCCTCGAGCACGTGCAGGTTGATTTGGCACAAGGTCAGGGCAGTTTGGGATTCTGTAGGTGTGGGACCACAGGAGCCACCTGGTGTGACACCAGGAGCACGGTGTGTGCAGCACCAGGTCCTCAGCTTCCCTCTCCTGCCCTCGATCCAGCAGGATCTGAAGCTCAGGGAGCAGCTCCAGGGCTGTGGGGCTCAGCCAGACCTGCCCTTGCTCCCAGGTCTTATTTTTGAGAGCCCATCTCGTGAGGCAGCCGACAGGGAAGCTTTCCTGGGCAGCACTTCCCAGGATTTATGGAAGGATTGTTTACCCAGCCAGGGTCCCTCCCTGGGTCCATCCCGAGGGAGGCAGCGCGCGATGCCGAGGTCGTGGTTCCCAGGTCAGAGGTCCAAGGCACCAGGGATTAAAAGAGATTAAATACCTTCTTCTCCAAAACTGGAGGTTTGGATAATTAATTGCTCCCTAAACGTGAAAGCTTTCCGTGATTGCCCTCCAGATCTGCCAGACTCCCTCTCCTGCCCTGGTTATTTGTCTCTGC